CAAAATACTATGCTGAAAATATAATAATAATAATATCTTTAATCTGTTATGAATTGTAATTAAAAGTAAGAACATCCAAAACTTAAATATTAAAATCCAAAATAAAAGATTTGACAACAAATTGTTTGATTTTTTTATTTACTGTACTGTATATGAAATTATCATTATATACTGTATAAAATTGTTATGATTATTAAATAATGATAAAACCAATTAGATAATTCATTAGAGTTTTAGGTTTTAGTGTTATTTGATAACAAACGGGAGAGAGAGGGAGGGAGGGAGAGAGAGAGAGAGAGAGAGAACTATTAAATTTAAATAATGATTGTGTTTTTGGCAAATATTTTGCAAATTCATAATTTAATACAATAGACGAAATAATGAACTAGAGTCTAGTTACTAGACTAAAATGAGTTATATTGTGAGCATATTTTATTTCATAGCATATGATTTCCATTTGAAATGAACGGATGCATTGTTTGAACAAATGTTTGTCAATCACATAAAGTTTTACTAATGAATGCATTCAATAAATGAGTACTTTTTAGTGAAATTTGATTAAAAGTAAGTGTTTGGCGACAATCAGTGTATTGCCTATGCGTTCAGTGGTTGTGCGGGAAGTCTTATGCTGTTCTCTCTTATCTGCCTTCAGTCTTGACATTAAATAACACATAAATTTCTTATTTAATAATAACATATCATATTGTGTGACATAACTGTGCAATAGTTTCATAAAAATTTTCTTTAACACGCTATTAATATTTCTTTAACTTAGATTAAAATCTATATTAAACTAATATAAATACTGTTTTCGGATCAAAAATATCAATATCGCTCACAAGTACTTTATTACCTAAGTAAAGGTCAACTCAAGAATTATTATATGAATGAAATGAATAGCGATATAACTCTTGTGGTGGAAGGCCATCGACTGCCGGCCCATAAGTTTGTCTTATCGGCGAAGAGTCCGGTGTTTAATGCAATGCTTTTCGGAGATCTCATGGAGGGGTCGGCCCGAGAGGTGGAGATAAAGGAGGCGCCCATCGATGCCTTTAAAGTGATGCTGCGATACATATATAGCGAAGAGTTTGTGTTGGAGAACGAGAAGGACTTTTCGTTGGCCATCGAAGTGTTCCGATTGGGCCATCGGTTCCAACTGATCCGACTCGTCAACTGCATCGAGCAGTCTATCATCAAAATGCTTAAGAAACACAATTATCTGCGCGTTTGCGACACACTCTCCATGTCTTACGACGACTTCCTGAGTCGCCGTCGCTTTGACTCATCGCTTCTGATGGTGATCGACAACATTGCGCTCATCTATGAGTTCTCACTCCTCTACGAATTGACAGAACTCATCAATTCTTGTCAACGATTTATCGCCAAAAACTCCAAACTCATCATAAAGAAGAAGTCATTCATCTGCAAGTCCTTCGATATCATGGAATCCATTCTGGGAGTCATGAATACCAACCAAACGATGGTTATCTATGCCTTACAAAAGATCCGGGACTCCAATCCGGACGCAGATATGACTCAATTCGAGAAACTCTTGAATTTCGAGACGTGTTCTGTCGATGACATCAATAGCATCCGAGCCATCCATATGTTCTCAAACGACAAACTCTTTGAAGTAATGGTCACTAAATATAAAACACTCCAAAACGAAAACTCAAAACTACTCAAAGAGAGAAGACTCTGAACATTGATTTTGATATGAAATTTGAAATTTTATTATTTTGTATAATAATTAGTTTAACTAAAATAGTTTTCTGTTATATTCAACATTCAACATATTATCACAAACAAATTCTATGAGGGTTAGATTTGTTTCAAAATATAAAAATACTGTATGTCATAAATCAATGACCTATTTATAAAACATTTATCAAAATTTTATATCAATTAAACAATTGTTAAGCTCCTAAACCGGTATTAAAACGGTATAAATATTAATGTGTTATTTGAATTGTTATCAAAAAGTCTCATTTAAATGCAGTCAATATACAGAATATGTAGACTGAATGGGAAGTGATTAGAGGTTTGATTTGTATTCCTTTCGCTTATAGAAGAGAATGTAAGCATTTCTGGTGATCACATAGTCTTCACGAATATCGTCAACACGATTGTCATCAAAACGACGCCAACCTATCAATGAATCAATTGCTATAATCCTAAGCCGTAATCTTTCAAATGCATGACAAATACCTAATCCCTTGAATTGCAACCTCAGGGACGTTTTCCGCCACATTACCGGCGGTAAGTGTAGCGGCATTACCAACTGGTGTCGCATCTCTAGCATACTACTCTTCCTTCCCAGCGAGTCTGTCATTCCCGAGTCTAGGTTCAGATAGAGAGGGAAGTCCACGAATCCGGTAATCTTTTCGGGGCACGAGTTTACGTCAAAACAGAATCTCTTCAATTGAATGATCACAACGTGTGGTAATCTCCAGAAGTGAATCTGTTTGCGGGCCTCGCGATTGGTTTTACATTTGGGACAATACCTGTGCGTTCACAACACCATTAGTTTGTGGGTTATGTTTACGGTATTTACTATCAATTCATACCATGAGTTTGAATGAGAAAGATATTCCGGTGCTGTATATAAGCGAAGACAGTCTGTCAGATGAATGTCAGTGTGTTTTATAGGGATTGGAAGCGATAGGTACACGAATGGATCAAATTTGAGAGATACCTGTGAATCACAAAGTCATACATAATTAGCATTCAATTCATAGAAATGTTAAGTTATATAACAATCTAATAAATTATCGGTTCAAAAGTGAAACAAAAAACTAAATACTTTCGGACAGACAGTGCAGTGGATGGACGACACGTACTGTCCATAGAAGAGGTCTGTGATAATTGAGTCGTTATTCCTCTGGAACTCATTCCACGACTGTATGGCCAGAGTGTTGGCGTCCAATCGGTTGTCGTTCTCATCGGTGGTGCGAGTGATGGCTCTCTTGACCCGAACGCGGTTGAGGTCTGCGTGGATGGCGTCCACCAATAGGGCTAAGAACTCGTGCGCGTCGTTCTGACCCCAAGACAGGGCTGACCACCGATCGCACAGTGACTTCAGTTGCGTCGGACGCACAGACCTCGCAGTCCTCTTCGGGTCTTCCGTTGTCCACAACTGTCGGATCAGTCGTGAGAAGGCGTATGCAATCATACCATCAGAAGTGGTTAAGTCTTCCTCGCATTTGTCGGCTGTCCGTCAGATATGACAACAAATGAGTCATTCATTCAAACAATCAATGGATGGATGGACTCACAGAAGAAGTATTGTCTCAAGAGATCCGTGTTTGAGAGGCACTGGACCACTGCGTTCAGGTAACAGGTGTTCCCCAAGTTGTCTAATCCGATACGACTGTCCTTCCCGTCAATGTCTGTCCACTTGTTGTCCATTGAATTCAATGATTCTCTGAATATAGTGTTGAAGTCGTCGAAGAAATTCATGTTAACTGACAATCAATTCATCCAAATATTCATTAAATACCACAAAAACAATACAATGACGTAATGTAGTGGTATTAGTGACCATTCAAATACAACGCTATGATTAAAGCATACATTTATAGACCTGTTTTGCAAATAAATTACATGCATTCAAAACTACAACTCTCTAGACGTTTCCAGACATTCAAACCCATCGACAAAATATACGTTATTAATGAACGCAAAACATATGAATTGCTCGCAAATGAGTGAAATGAAGCGAAGGTCACGATTGGCTGACTGTGGGCTGAATGGGCTCTCATTGGCTTCATATGTGATGTGCGATGAGTTCACTATTGCAGTGAAGGGAGGGGTGAGTGTTAGGCATAGACTGGAAACACATGTAAACGTATGTAATGTTTATGACTTACTGTTGGAGTGAACGCCACCTCTAATGACAACACGATTTAAACCATTGAATGAGACATTGGTTTGACATTTGATCCCTTCGTAGACATCCATTGCACGAGTGATGACCGACGCAAACATTTGTGGCATAAATCGTGTCCACAATTACTATCTGTGGGCCGTTTCGGCCGTCTATTTGTTCGCCTTCTCATCCATTTATCTCCAAATACCGGGTAATCATTGACTGACACAACACGTGATGACCACCTCTTGTAATGACACGACATGTCTGGTAACAGGTCTTTATGGTGATGATGGCGTACTGCCGGTGCGAGCCTTTGCACAGTTGGATAAGAGGGGGTCGACAGCACTGGTGGACGCCTTCAGACAAGTGCCGTCTCTCGTATGGTTGGGCCCAACCATTGGCCTGTCGTTGACCTCAGCTCTGGAGGTGATAGCGTTGATGGGAATCGTTGTCTCATTCCTCCAGTTGGTGCTCAAGTCGTTCCGTGACTTTTGGTGGTATTCCCTGTCGCTTGTGCTCTACTTCTCTATATATCAGGTGTGGTATTGAATCCGTGAAAGGGTTGTACTAATGATGGTATGTGTGATGGACAGGTGGGCCAGACGTTCATGTGGTTCCAATGGGACACTCTCTTACTGGAGGTCGGCCTACTCACTGCCCTCACAGCCCCGTTAAAGCTACCATTCCTGGTGGAGTCGGGTCCACACACTGGACTCACCTTTTGGTTGGTCCGGTGGCTACTGTTCCGCCTGATGTTCGCGTCGGGTGTGGTTAAGCTGACCAGTGGTTGTCCCACGTGGTGGGGGCTCACGGCTCTGGACATACACTTTGAGTCTCAATGCATTCCCACTCCTATCGCGTGGTTTGTCCACCACTTCCCCTCCCCTTTACTCAAGTTATCAGTTGTCATGACTTATGTCATCGAAATAGTGGTTCCCTTTTTGTTCTTCATCCCAATCAAGAATCTAAGAATTTTTGCGTTTGTAATGCAAGTGAGTTATCCATTGATATGCCATTTAATGGTGAAACTAATGGTTTTGTTTGAAATATTAGGTCATCTTTCAGTTGGCAATCATTTTGACCGGAAATTACAATTTCTTCAATATCTTGACTACTGTTCTCTGCCTTTCAATACTAAACGACTCGCACCTCAAGAGTCACTCATCGAGTACTGCGTCCAACACTGAACTAAAGCCCAAGTTTTTAATGCCTAAACTGATGACAAAAGTGATCACTTATTTCATATACTTCTCACTAATCTATTGGACCATTCATTTGTTTAACATTAACTGGAACGCCGGCACCCTATCTATAAGCGTAAACTTCAATAACAATGAATTGAATGAATTTATCCTTTGGGCGCTTCCCATCTCCATATCGTTGGCCACACTCTCTCTGGTCTCCAATATATTGAAAGCGTTTTCGAGGTCTGTATCGAAAGGCTGCTATTGTTTTGTTGCAATAGTTTTGCTTATTTTTAAAACTAAAACAATGACAACACATGTCTCGCCAACAGATGCCTTATTTTGCCGACAAATGGTTTCACTCGAATAGTGAACCTATTCTACACCACACTATACGTGAGTGCAGTGGTGTTCATGTTCTGCATATCACTGGTGCCGCACGTGAGCGTAGACCCCACCCACTCAGTCAAGTTATGGCCGGTCATCCATCGGTGGCATAAATCGGTCGATAAGTTCCCGGTTGTCAACAGTTATGGTCTCTTCAGACGCATGACTGGAGTGAATGGCAGACCAGAGCTGGTTATTGAAGGCAGTGATGACATGTCTTCAGTTAGCGGTTGGAAAGCCTATCATTTTCTCTATAAACCGGGAGATATCACAAAAGCGCCCAAATTTATCAGTAAAACTATCTATAATTTACTGTTAAATAAATGTTAAATGACTATATTTTGAAACTCCAGTTCCACATCAACCACGACTAGACTGGCAGATGTGGTTCGCGGCTCTGGATAACTATCAGAACAATCCATGGCTTATGAATCTCTGTTACCGTTTGCTGACCGCACAGCCAGAAGTGTTGGATCTGTTAGACAAGAGTCAACTGCCTTTCAAAAAGGCGCCCAAATTTATAAGGATCCGGTCGTATACCTACCGCTACACAGGTATTCATATTCTTGACAATTGTTTGTAGTTTTGGTTTTGAATATAATGTTTGTCTTAAAGGCAAGAATGCGAAGAACTGGTGGCGAAGGGCTGATGAGAAGGAATACGTGCCGCCCGTCAGTAAAGAATCGTTGGATAAGTTTATTAAAGCCAATGGCATAGAGACTGTACGCACGATAGACCTGACAGACAAACACCCGTTTGTCACCAAAACGTTGGCATTTGTGCGCAAACTGTGCACTCAATTGAACTCAACTTCGTTTATATATTCACTGTTTTCCGTCGCACTCTTAATCGCAAATTTCTAATTTAAAACTAAATGTCATTATTTTCTCATTTTATATTTATTTACTAAACTATCGATCAAATGCATTGAAATAAATTATTTCAACTTAAAGTTTATTGACAACAGGCTTTGCATTATTTTATTGGCTAAATTGAGACATTTGTTTGAGTTACTAAAAGTGAAGGTAAAACAGATAAGATCAGAGGTATTTAACAAGGTTGGTTATGTTGTTAAGTTAGATTCCCTTACCTGGCATTAAATTGTGCTGTAAGCCCTCCACTCTCAGACTTACCACAAAATTGGTTATGATAGTAGGTGTTACTGTTTCTGATGATCAGATCTATCGATTAGCAACTCATTTTAGCAGCATTTATCATTTATGTGGTATTCCTTAAGAATATCCTTGGTGCCCTCCTTTGAATTTGCATAATTGCCAACTGATTAGACAACACTTCATTTAACTAAAATATTTACACAACACTACAATTAATGTAAAAATAAATTTATTTAATATTTATTTGTCTCTTATTTTAATTATGAAAATATAATACAATTTTGGGAATAATGAAGAGTAAGTCACTTATTTGCAGTGTTTGGTTAGTACTGTAATGAAAATCAGGTTTTAATATTTAGTGCTGAATAGGTCTCATGAATAATGAGAAGTAAAGAATTAAAGCCATCGCTAATGCAATCAATTGTATGTTAAAGAGTATGGAAGTGCTGACAAAAATCCAAAGCCTTTTGTGACGAATAAATTCCTCCAATTTAGAGACACATCCCGTCTTGTAAATGATTTGATCGGAAATACTATGAATCGCTTCCACTCTATCGATATGTTGAGTCCAATATCGACAGACCGATGGCTTGGGTATGCAACAGGTCCTAAACATCTTGTAATTGACTTTATATGAATGTGATGTCAGTCTGCCTTTGATCAGAAGTATCCCCAAATTGGATGTACTGTTGAGCCAGTCTTCCGGACCCAGAGCTCCACAGCATTTGAAGTCAGTCTGTATTCTGTCGATCAGTATTTTGATGGCATTCGTGTCATAATTGCTTTCATTTGCTTTTATGATAACCTTTTCTATGCTCTGTTGGACAGTATGTTTGTCGCTCGCAGTCCATGCGATGGATGTGCCGCAAAGCAGACATACCATTAAAGACAATGAGATGTATATTCTTAAGAGGGCTATGGATTCGCGAACTATACCACAGCAGCCAATGATACCGAATATAACTGTAACCGATCCCAGAATTGTCAGAGCGATGAATGTGTTGATGCAATACTGGCCCACTTGTGTCCCTTCCAAGTAATACCACGTCTCTGACCAGTGATATGTCGACACAATTATCATAAGGATTCCCAACAAAGAAATTGGAAAATTGAATGTGAAAATTATATACTTTATAATTGGAAACATATCACATTTAAATTTATATAAAATAAAATAATATGTGAATTAAATGAAAATAATCTCTTGCCGGAATTTTAGCCATTAATACTAGTGCTACATATACAGTACTAATAATGTTACAAAATAGGAAGTGTATTACTGTTATATAATTCTATACAATTCTTGACAACGTTTAATAAGTTTATAAGCACTATAAGTGGATTAATTTAATTAATTCTTAATATAGAAACTCTCCAGAATATGTTTTGCTTTAATTATATTTGAAGTCTTATTTTTTAATTTATTGAATCACTAAATAGATTAAGAGATTAGATTGTAAGAGCAATACAAATATAATTGTTTATTGGTAATGTTAGTCAATTTTATATTTATTACATAATAACAATAAAATGATATAATCCAATACTCTTATTGATATGATTAAAGTGTGACACGTTTTTTATTTGACAGTAGAGTTATGTTTATAATTTGTAATTACATTAAAGTAAAAGATAATCACATAATGTCTGTATTATTTGTTACATTAAGTTTATTGAACAAGATCTGTATAACAGTTGTATTATATTTTAAAATCATTTCATTCATAAATTTAAACAGATTATAATTAGAGCCAAACATTGATTTAACATTGTTGAATTTTTGACAAAATATCCATAATTTATAGTCAATTAAATGAATCTCTTTAAGTGAGGTGTTGTTAAAGGCTATATTCAAATTATTGATAGCACTGTGATTGTGAACAAAGTAGCAAATCATTAACTCTATGTTCAATAGATTTAGAAAATAAAAAATAATTAGCTTTATATAATATGATAAACACAATAAATTAAAGACAATAAATAATTATCTAAATTTTATAAATAAGGTACACACGGAATAGGAATATAGTTTTGAAATCCATTGTCAATTTCATTAAAATATTATAAATTGTTTACAATTAACTTTAAACAATTACTTTAATTTCCAATAAATACTAATTTTAATTGAATTATTGTTATACAAATAAATTATGGCTTATTTTACAAATGACCACGTTATAGAAACGGAAACCAAATATTTTTTAATGATTAATCAATAAGGTTTGGGAAACTTATTATTTAGTAGTTTTACTCAAAATTCAGTTTTGTAAAAATTATTACTATTTATTGGATTTGATTAATTCAAAAAAGTTTCCAGTATTATGAATTATAAATAAAAATCTATTAATAACAATATCAACTTTAATTAATATCTACTGTACAATAATCATTCATAATTATTTTATAATAGTTAATAAATTGTATAATGGGTTGTTCAAGTATGAAATTAAATCACTTACTTTGATTTTTTAATAAGTTTGTGATATTATTAGCAAGTTAATATTTATATAAATTATAATTAAAATTAAAATTCATGTAAAATTGGTAGTTTTTATCATTTTTAGTTTTAATAATTTATTCAGTAGCAGTTAGCAGTAAATATAGATTAATTTAAGGGTAAATCTTACTGATAATGAATATATGTTTGGGTCATTCATTAAATAGAAAAAAATGAATTCTTTTGAATTGAATATCAATTTTTATAATTCAATGTTTTTGCTATGAAATGAAGGCATAATTACATGAAAACTGTTTATCGGTTTAAGCAAATTATTAATTGGGTTATAAGGATACACTACAGGTTATATTGATTTCCGCACATAATAAAACAAAATCACCAGCTCTGGCACCGGTATTAATTAGCGAAATAATTGCCTATTATAATACCAATACGGGGGGAACTACTGTCGGGTGGATGAGTGGAAAGCCTGGCGTCTCTTTGAAATTCAAATGAAGAATATATTGTCAATCAATGGTCTACGTGTGTGATAAAGTATATGCTTTTGTTTGGTTACGTGACTAATATGTATATAAATTGAAAGCATTATCAACACATTTGACAAATCAATTGTTTTAACAATTTATTGAACATTTATTGATATTGTTCATATTTGTATCATTGTCCTAAAAAGATGAAACCCAACATTCAAAAGGACACGGAGTGTAAGCCATGGATGCGTTGCGTTGAACGTGATATCCGCCAATCCCTCAACTGTGCGACGGCTATGAGCACCGACTGGTTTCATAAGGGCGCCTGTATTTCCCGACCGTGGAGGGGTTTTCGGTCTAATATGACTAAACTGAATAACATTAGTAGAGTCAGTCATGTCTCGGACTGTTGTATACGGAAACACACGAGTTCAATATGTATTCACTTTTATCGCTACTATTCATATGTTTATTATAATTAGTTATCAAATCGTGTAATCTATTCGTACAGATAAGGGACTGTGCGATACGGAACGGCACTGTTATGCCACAACAGGCGCTGAAAGATATCTACACTAATAGTTTGGGTACATATCTGAAGACTTGTAGCAACAAAGGTATAGATCTCATGTCCGACGCTTTCTGTGCGTCCAAAACACCGGTTGGAGTGGTTTTGGAGCCTAAGTGTCACCATTGGATGAAGTGTAGTGTCGATGATGTCTTGTACTCCAACCCCACCACCAGTCCCATAGCCACTCACATATCGGTTAAACCACAGAATAAGCCCAACAACGCTCATACAAGCGGTGCAAATAGTTTTACTGTCTTTCCTGTTATTCTTGTGTTGACTTTTCATTCAATTTTAAATTTTACTACAATATCATAATTTCGAGTATTTTATTATATGATTCATAGAATCCATTATACCTTTTCTGTATTTGAATTCTTATATACTGTACATTATATTCATTAGATTTCATTAATTTTGTAGATAATTGAAAAATCTATTTATTAATAAATATTATTTACATCTTTCTGTACAATTGAGGCAATCATTTTGAGTGTAACAAATAACTTATTTACAAATATTAAATACATTTATACATAAAATAGATTACAATTAAACGCCTAATTAATTAATAGCTTAATCTTCATCTAATATGCGTCCGAAACCGTCAATAACTGACGGCGCCTTTGAATATTTGGCACCTTTTGGCAAATGAGGCAAATGTTGGCATTTATCAGAATCCTCCTCATAGTCAGTGCACATCAGACTCAATGTATTTCCGGCCATAGATGTGATGTATTTCTCGTAATTATCCATTGATTTCTCACTACACATGCGAGCCTTTCGGGCGGAACTCATAATACAGGCCTTCAGCTCATGAAAAGCACTATAAATATATTGAAACAAAAATGAACAAAGTGAATTGAATTACACTGGTAAAATATTGCTAATACTGTAAGATTAAGGTTACATACCAGCACGCGTGGGGTACTTTCATTCTGGTCTCGAATGCATTGGATTTGCCCAATTCGACCATAAACTGATCCATGCACTTATTGGACTGATCTCTGATTTGATTGCCGCAAGCAGAGAAAGACATCAATTCTTGCTTTTTAGTAGATTTGGTGCAATAATTTTTGTCAATTTGTTTCACAGTAAAGAGCATCACATTTGCCAACTGTTTGTGTGTTTCTTTGCCGCAGACATCGGTGTAGTCCTTCACACATGCGATCAGATTTGCCGTTTGTTTGCAGTGTTTCTCCAATTCCGGCTCATTCTCCGGATATTTTCTCGATCTCCGGCCCACAAACCATAGCTTATCCGCACAGACATTAGCTCTGATCTTATGCTCGTCATCGCACACCGATTCCACATCCCTGTCCTTTCGGTCAATTGGCGAACACTCCATCACGACTGCGATTACAATTATTTTATTATAATTAATTATAGTATTTATAGTGTTCATATCATTTTAAATACTTACCACAAAACAAAATGCTAACAGATATTAAGTTTAGTGTATTCATTGTTATGTTTGATATATTTTTAAAGCTTTGATACAAATATGAACAATATCAATAAATGTTCAATAAATTGTTAAAACAATTGATTTGTCAAATGTGTTGATAATGCTTTCAATTTATATACATATTAGTCACGTAACCAAACAAAAGCATATACTTTATCACACACGTAGACCATTGATTGACAATATATTCTTCATTTGAATTTCAAAGAGACGCCAGGCTTTCCACTCATCCACCCGACAGTAGTTCCCCCCGTATTGGTATTATAATAGGCAATTATTTCGCTAATTAATACCGGTGCCAGAGCTGGTGATTTTGTTTTATTATGTGCGGAAATCAATATAACCTGTAGTGTATCCTTATAACCCAATTAATAATTTGCTTAAAC